TTCATATTTTACATCAATTCTGTCTTCAGTTCAATCTCAAGATACACTACAAAGTCAATATACAATATCTAGAATCAGAGTTGAAGAATCATTGAAGAGTGTCACTCACAGTGAATGCATAAACTAGTACAAACAATCTTGTATTTATGAGAGTTATATATTATTACATTGATGAGAACTGAACTTATCAAGAGACATTAATTGAATTTGAATTATTAATCAGTAGTTATACTGAGAATTATATGACAGAAATATTAATAACTATGATTAAAAATGACTATTGAGATATTAGTCTCAGTCATCTTACAATTATAACTGATAATGCTGTGAATAACTACACTATAATGAAGAGCTTGAAGTAAAAATTGACTTTGCATTTCTGAAATGATAAACAAGATCATATTCTCTGTATTACTCATGTGGTTCAACTTGTGATACAAACACTGATAAAGAATCTTAATATCAAGATAAAGAATAATGAGATGACTGATTCTTGAAATAAGAATGAGATGAAAGTGATTACTTAAGTAACTTTTATATTTACTTTATAAAAGATAATGTTTTTTGATAACATTTTTTAATATTGCTTTTTAATAATGCTTTTTGATAATACTACTATTAATTTTGAATAGATTGACTAATAATTTAAATATCACAGATTTGAAACATTGCTAATGTGATTTATATCTCCTTTAAACAATAATAACAATTTCATGATATTCAATAAATAAATAAATCAGTCACATCACTGAATATGATACAGAATGTTAGAACACAGTGAAGTTTAATATATAAGATAACTGTTCAGACTCTTCAATTATGTCAGATAATTGATCATTAAGTGTAACACTCTGATTAGAAAAAGATTCAGACATTGAAACTTTCTGATATGAAGTGAACTTAGTTGAAATATATAATTGATTTACTGTTTCAGTTTTATAAGATAATAAAGACAGTCTCAATCACTTGTACATCAATGCTGCAGTTAGTTTGATAAGTATATAACAGTTTATTTACTTATCTTGAGAAGCAGTTGAATCACTCAAAAAGAAATTCAGTCTGAGATAATACTATAGTGCAGGCTATTATTACTGTAAGAGATAAACTGACATATTACTACAGCAAAAGTGAACAATCTTTTACAGAGTACTATACTGTAGCAGCTTTACTAGATCTCTCTTATCAAGTTAATATCTACACTTCTCAAGATTGAATAGAGAAGAAATGAGACTTGTATATTAAATTAGTCTGAGACTACTACAATACTAACTATCAGAGATTTAAATAAGCAGATGTTTAAGATGTGAAGATAGTAAAATATAATTCTCTAGTAAGTAATGATCTTTGATAATACTTTATATTTCATAGAATTATAATACTAACTTTGAAACAGAACTTGTATACATTGATTACAACTGAAAATCAGACAAAACTACATACTTATAAAACTAAATTTAATCACTATCTTCAAGATAATTCAATGAATTTACACATTAAATCAATTCTAGAGTTATAAAAAATTGTTAAGAGTATATATTCAACTATTACACTGATGATATATAATATTCTGATAATTTCATTAACAGAGATGAGAATAAAGTGAAAGTTCAACTCAAGTTAAGATATTTATCACTATTATCAGAGATAATTATAAGAAGAAATAATCAAGAAACTCATGATTATAAAACATAGAATTATCAGACAGTTTAATACCTCTGATCAGCCAGCGTGGCCCAGTTGGTAAGACTGATAACCAAGGCTGCACACATTAGAGGTGCGTGGGTTCGAATCCCACCGCTGGCACCTGCCACTTCTTACCCATGAAAGCCCCCATGTAATAGGGGCTGAGCCTAATTAGTAAGGCTTGGTGCGGGGTAGAACTCCCTACTGCAGGCCAAGCCACTAGTTAAGTGAGATCCTGCGAACACTCACCAGGGCCGGCATGAGGTGCCAATGTCTCACTATCCTACTGTGCACCCGTCAAGGTTCTAATGATATAGAGCCAAGCCTAATGTAGTGATTATACACTACTTAAGCGAGTCCCTAACTAGGGCTGTCATCGGAGCCTAGCTCCCCCCCAAATACAGGGAATGATTTTGAAAACCACCTGACTAGCAGGCCTAGACGCGCATCTAGGCCCTAGGCAGGGCACCCTGATAGGCTAGAGCCTGCAAGCTCCCTGCCAAGCCCTAATACTGGCAGGGAGGACTGCAGTCATCAAGCCTATGGTTAGTCCCTAACACGGGGCGAGGCCACAACAGCTGATTGGTAGGCCTATGAGCATCTAATGAGGCCGAGATCAGCAACTGGAAGCTTGGTGTGTACACCACCAAGTGAGCGGTGGCAGCCACTAACTAACACCCCTGGAAATTAGTGGCTGGCCTGAGAGGATGGACGCGGTGATCGGTTAATTATAGAGGGTTAAATGTAATTAGCTTAAGGTGCATCCTGTGGGTGGCTAGTGCCCGTAGTTCAATTTAATATGAATAAAACTGAGTTAATTCACTTCTTTCTGAGATTCAATGAGAAAGAACTATCTCTAACTCTTTTAAATAGAGAGATTAAACCCAGTGTAAATGTCAAATGATTAGAAGTATGATTAAACTCTAAGTTGAATTTTAAATATCACATTCAACAAAGAACTGTCAAGGCAGAAAGACTATTGAACAACATAATCAGACTATTAAATACAGAGAGAGGTCTATTCTTTCAGGCTATGAGACAGTTATATATAGCCTGTATTACATCAGTAGCTGATTATGAAGTTCAAGTTTGATGAAATAATCAAGAGAATTTCACTGAACTCTTTCAAAGTCTGTAAAACAGAGTCTTGAGAAGAATTCTGAAAGCATTCAAATCATCTTCTATTAAAGTAATGAAAATTAAAGCTTCAATTTCTTCTTCTACTATTAGATTTGAAAAGGTCTGTATGAACTATGCTCTGAGAGTTGTAAAGATGAGCTTAAATCATATAATCAGAGAAAGAGTCTCTTCTTCATTTTCATTAATTAACTCTGGAAATGAACTGAATTGAAATAGATTTCTTAATTAAAATGAAAATAATTCTTCAAAGAAAATATCTTCTCAACTGTACAGACTATACTCTCTGATTAAAAATCAATTTTCTTCTTTAAATGTTGAAAAAGTTGATCATGAGAAGTTATCTCTCTGAAGAGAAAAGCTTGAATCTCTTATAGACTTATAAATAAGTGAACTATTAAAAGAGAAAGAATATGAACAGTATTTGAAGAGAATTTCTACAATTAATATAAAGAACTCTATTCTGATTTATTCAGATGACTTAAAAAATGAGAACTTGAATAGATTAGGTGCAGACATTGCTTATACTGAAGATAATATCAATTTTATCTCAGATTTCTGAAATCTAGACTCTGAATGTGAAGTCTTTGATACTGAACTATTTATAATAGTGAAAGCTTTCAAACTCATTAAAATAAAATCTCATAAAAGAGAAAATTGTTTGAAAGAGGTATGAATATTCTCTGATAGTCAAGCTGCTTTAAAAAGACTTAGAAATAGTCAGATTCATAATAATCAAATGAATCTTGAACTGATCTTAAACTCTATTTTGAAAATTCAAAAGAGAAGAATATCAAAGCTGATAATTTATCTGCACTGAGTTCCTGCTCATATGAATATTCATGACAATGAATTAGCTGATTCAGCTGTGAAAAAGAGTGTAGAATTAAGTAGATCTATTCAAAAAATTATATCCTGGTCTTTTATAAAGAGAAAAATAAAAGAATCTTATTTAAACAAGTGAAATGAAAGCTGGCAGAAATAAAAGAAGAGTATACATTATTCAAGATTTGAAATAAAACTCAAGTGAAAATCTTGTTCAATTAAATATAAAAAGAAAATATTCTCATCTATAATACAGCTGAAACTAGAACATGGCTATTTCAAATCTTATATACAAAGATTTGATGATAGATTTGACTCAATAGAATGCTCATTCTACAATATAAATAAGAATTCTGAGTATATTGTAATGCACTGTGTATTATATAATAGTCTCAGAGCCAGATTGAAAGAGAAGTATGATCTAAATCAATTAAATATAAGATTCTTATTCTCAACTGAGACAGGAATTAAATACTTAATAGACTTTCTATCAGAAACTCAAGCAGTTACAAGAAAATGACTAAATTCAGAATTATCTGAATATGAAGAGAAGGAAATCAATCAGATATAGTCTGTTAAAACAGCTATATACTATCTTTTAATAATTTGTTTTGTTACAGTCTTTCTTTATTTTATCTTTTCATTTCAATTTCTTTCTATCTATCTATTTAATATGTCTATCTTTAAGACTGTGTTCTCTTTTCCTTTGTCATGATATTGTCAAATGATTTCAAAGTATGAGATGATGTTAAAACACTGCAATTTGTAAACAGTTTTTGTATTCTGAGCTGAAATTTTCTGATTTTGCATATCTGAAATTGATGAATGTATAATAGTTAACTTTACAGATATAGGAAAAACTCTGAGAACTAAAAGTTCTCAGATAGATGTTATAGTCTCTGACTGTATACATCTATAATTGAAGAATAATAATAATAATAATAATAATAATAATATTT